TAATTTCGGGAACCCGCAAGATTTCGTCACATGGGTGTTCCGAGCCGTTATTAACCTCTGCCCCAAGTATTATTTTGCAGATAGTAGGAATGACTTTTTTTAATAATATAATTAACATATAACCAGATTTTAGAAGCAATTCGTTATAAGTATCGTATGACTTGCTATCTATTACTTTTTCATATGTTTAATCATTTTAACGCTATTTTATAATAGGAAATCGCGATTATGAAATACTTGTGCAAACAATTATTTACTTTTTACCTTTCTGAAAATGTAATATTATACAACAGTTAAATCCAATTCTGCACCATAAAAGTATCAATAATATAAATTGCGCGCGTATTCTAAGTAAATTGAAGCGTGCAATAAAAACGGCGATAACATAGCAAAGCAGCCCCGGATTTTCTGTACGTTTTTAGCACGCAACATTCCTTTTTCTATTTTTTTTTTACTTAAAAAGACTATGAAGACGATACGGAAGTATAATTTAACAACTTAAATATAATCATATGTATTTCAGGAAATTATGATGAAGTTTTAGCTCGAAACTTCAGGTTGCGCGCCCCGCAAATTGATTTAACAGATCCAGCAAAAATCGCAGCGGAACATGTAACCGCGACGTCAGAGACTGAAAAAATTAAGCCTTTTTGTGCCGTGGACCGTGACATCAACTGAGGCTTGTCAGGCGATTGATCAAAGTAAACAGATTGCGTTCGTTATCGTTTTCAACAATAATGTGTTAAAGAAATTTGTTTTCTTTTTTAATTAATATTTAATAACAACAAAACAATATACAGGGTAATATTTTTGAATGGAAACATAATTTAAACGGATCAAAGTCCACCTGAGCACTTCTTTTGAGTTGTGAATGCGAAAGCACGCTGCGTACAACGCGCTGACCTTAGATGTGGAACGGTGGAGCCGCTGCCTCGAGGACACGCAGCGCCATCAGGTGAGCGATCGTTGAAACTGTCGTGGCGCTTGCGGCGCGAGGAAGGAACAGACAGCAACGTAGTTGCTAGCAGAACGAACCCCTTGGTTTATTCCATGCGCCGTATATATAGTCACCATAGAGTTATTATAATGTACGCTAGAGGTTCAAGTGGCGCTAGTGTGCTGACGCAAATTGAAGCAGACAGCAACGAGTCCAAAATTTACTTCCGGTAATACATTTCTATGGGAAAAAGTGAGTGCATTTTCTCCCTGCGCTCGATCATAGGAGCAAATATCCCGAATAATTCGTACGTACTAGGTAGCTTGTAACATTTCTCAGTCAGGCCGATGAGATTATTGGTTAGTTGCGGCGTCTATCTTTCAAATTCATCGCATTAAAAACGGTGCTTTAACGGCCCCGTACGTGTATTTATGTGCACTGTCGGACACTGTTAGCGCGAACACGACGTCGGCGCTTTTCAGCATGAGGTACATACGTGCCAAACGAACGAAGGACATCTGGAAATTAAGTTAGACGGCAATAACTACGCAGTAACACTGGATCAGTAACTACCCCTGCATGTACGATCAAAATAAATTGAAGGCCACGTAATATATTTCGATTTTAAATAAGTAAGTACCGCTTTGTACTTTCTAGATCTGCTCGTGAAGATGTGCGAAGATGTTTGTTCTGCGTTGAAAACATCACCCTCACTCTCGAAATATTTGAGAACAAGTGCCCGATAAAAGCTGCCCGGCAGAGAAAACAATAAGAAGACACCTTTCATAGCCCACGTACTTTATTCTCTTTTTGAATGTTTCTATCCGCGCTTGTACGACGGGGTCTTTTTCATATAGTGACAGGACTGGCATATTATCAACATATAAGCGTCACCGGGATGCCGGCGAGCCTTGAACACACCCTATATTACTTTCCATTTCTATTTTGCTTTGAAACGTCGCTTGTTTTTACACACCTGCTGCGGAACACATATTTGAGACTGAAATGTAGCGAAGTTAAACATCGTTCACCGATGAAAAAAAGAATGCGCTAACTAAAGCACTTACACTTTTAGAATGTTAATCAAGGTACATGATATTCGGTACGACCCAAATAACCAAAGCGTTCTGTGTTATTTTCCGGTGAAGAGACAAAATGCACGCGCGTTTTCCCATAGGAATGCACAGGAGCTCCGCAAAAGTGGACTGGTTGCTGTCTGCTTCAATTTGCGTCACGGAAGTGGCATAGACACTAGCGCCAGTTGATTCTCTAGCGCACATTATAATAACTCTATGATTGCGACGCGCCGTGCAACCGATAAAAGGCGAGCGAACGCGGTGATCAGTGATAGCACAACAGTCTGCTAACACAGGATTGCACCACACAAACAGACGTGCAGCGGCCAATGGGAGCCCCGTCGATGCGCACCAGCCAATGAGAGCGAAGTGTACAATGTGCCGTTGTGTTGCTTTGCGCGTGGTTTCATTAAGGTGCCGTTTTGCAAGGTTTCAAAGCTGATAACGTCGGCTCGCTCCATGAGACAGTTAATGATTTCGCATTAAAAGTGCAAAAAGCTAGCTGAATGCCGTTTTCGCTAGGTGTTTCTCAAGTTCGGCGGACATAAGCTGAGGGAATAATCATCATGTAAAGTTGGCGTCTAAACTGAAATATGTTAATTAACTTTTAATTATCGGTTTTACGGGTAATATTCTCAATTCAGAATTTACGGCACTTTATATTAGAGGCCAGACAAATCAAAACGAATTCGCAAAACTTTTATTAGTGTCTGAGATATCAATCAATCAAGTTTCACATTTTTTTAGCCCGATTAAAAAATTGACCACAAAAAGCGCGCTGTGAGCCCTGCCTGGCACTGCCCACAATGACACTCAGAAGAGGGTCATTGTGGAGAAGGTTTCTTGTTCGTGCTGCCACTTCTTTCGCCGTATTTTTCTTCTTTCGCCGTGTTTTCCCTGCTTTATGTGGCGTTTTCAGCCGTCCTAGCGGACGGCTGAAGGCGCCATTAAGCGAGCGCTGCCACTTCGTGGCATCAAACGCGAGACAATCTCGCCTACTAGTGATCTGGGCCGTCTATACTGAGAGAGTTTGGCCTTAAGGAGATTTTAACAGCCTGGCAACCACAGCAGCGTAGTCTGACAACCGGGGGATGACTACTTCCGTCCGCCATGTTGTGGCTCTGGCTCGTACGATCTCTACGCGATTTCTCAGGAATCAACAAGACAAAGAAGTAACGCCATTTTGTGTTATCGCAAAATTCGATGGTTCTAGCGGGCAACAAGCTCCGCCCATTGACCAAACTCTCTAAGTATAAAATGCTCTGTTAACAATATCTGAGGACTGTACGCCCTATGGCCTATACATAGCTTGCCCGTAACGTCATTCACGGTAATGCCGGTATCTTATGTGCCACGAGGGTTCGGTTCACCGCAGACATGTACAAGTTACTCAGGAAAAGAAATTAAGTTAAGCTACTGAGTATTCGCTTCAAATGTAATTGGAGTTGAGTAGAAATTACTGAAATGGAAAGTAACTGAGTAAATTACTAACTACCGTAAAAAAGTAGCGAGTTTCTTTTCACTTTACTTTTATATATTTTATTGTAACAAGAAAGTACGCTAATATAAAGCGGCTTGTGTTTTGACAGAAATACTTTATTAGCTGGTTGTGCTTGTGCGCGCCTAATAGTTCTAATTTTTTTTTCGACAATGATGTACTGCGGATGCGTCATTTATGCTTTGAGGTTTAGCACTCCCTGAGCTTGATTTTGCAGACAGTGTTTGATCGCTTACAGTGTTGCGTAAAGTACATTTAAAAGGTAGTTGATCTATAGTACAAAGTAAATGAGAGGCTATGTACTTCAAGTACATAATCTCAAGTGCACCGGGTGCAATGTACTTCAAGTGAAGTACACTAAGCACAATGGTAATTTCAAAGTAAAGTGCAAGTGCCTTTTAACACAATCTTTTATGATGATCTTTCGTCCCCTATACAGTGTTTTTTTTAAACTGGTATGCATTGCTTTAGAGTAATTGGAGGTGCATAATTTTTTTTTTGTAATGGCGGCAAATATAGGGTTGAAGTCAAGCCACCGCAGTGTAGCTGTTTACTCTAGCTGACGAAATATTTAACCCTCTTTATTATTGTATCTCCGGGGATACAGACTTAAAACGCACAAATAAAAATTACTGTAAATATATACTCCCTCAAATGGGCAATGTATCTCATGGGACACATCCTCCGCGGCGGCCGAGACACCTAGCGCCACCTCCCGGAGCCTACAGCAAGTGTTTCTTCATGAGTGACAGAACATGGCGTCAACCAGTGCTGGCGTCCACGTGTCCACGGCAAGTACTACTTTGTGCTCTAAACGTTGAAACGGTAATCAAAATCTAAGGTTGCGATTTTATACGAAAGTGTGCAAAGACTTTGGTGATGTATTTTTAATCGAATACTCCGATCCAATTATGCAAAGCAGGGTGATAATCCGTGTGTATCTCACAGGATACACTGCACGTTGGGGTATTTATTCCACTGTTTTGTATACGTTTTTCTAATGTTTTTTTTTTATTTTTGTTTTGTGCAGGAGCTAACTGCGAGGACATTTTATGGTTTACGATTGAGAAGGAGAGCCACAGTGATCCCTCCTGAAGGTGGAGTATCCGACGTCGACTCATCAAGCGATGATGAAACGGACACGGACAATGATGACATCAGCTTCAAGCCAAGGAGTAGAAGCTTGGAAGTAGAAAGATCCCTCTCGGAAGACCAAGCTGAATTGCCAAAGAACGCCGCCTCGTCGAGACAAGGTGACAAGTACAAATGGAGGAAGACAAGTTTCAACCACGACTTCCGAGCTCCAGAACCGCAGTTTGAGCTTGCACCGGAAGATCTCACTCCACTGCAGTATTTTCAGATGTATTTTGGCGATGAGTTCATTGAGAAGGAGGTTTATGAGACAAATCTGTATTCCACTCAACAGACCGGAAGCTAAATCAACACGAACGTTGCAGAGTTAAGGTACTTCATCGGAATTCTTCTTATGATGGGCGTCATCGGGATGCCTTCGTTTGAAGACTACTGGGCCAATCAAACAAGATGTGACGAGATCGCCAATGTGATGCCTGTAAAACGGTTCAAGAAGCTCCGAAGGTTCATCCATTTTATTGATAACCTCCAGCCAGTTGAAACTGACAGAGCCTACCAGATTAAACCTGTGCTTGAGCACATTCGGAGCAAATGCAAGGCCAAAGAGAGCGAAAATCTCTTCTCCATTGATGAGATGATGATCCCGTACAAGGGTAAAAAGGCGGGGAACCTGAGGCAGTACCTCCCCAAGAAACTTAAAAAGTGGGGCTTCAAACTGTTTGTACGTGCGGGTGTTTCTGGGATGGTTCATGACTTCATTCTGTACACCGGCGCAACGACATTCGAAGGTATCAGACTTGCAGAAGAGGATGAGGCGCTCCGTCTCGGCGCAAAGGTTGTGTTGCGCTTGTACGAGAGCGTTTCTCGTCCAAATGAGAGCATTGTCTACTTTGATAATTTCTTCACCTCGCTGGAACTGATTTCACGACTGAAAGAAAGGTATTCTTTGCACAGTCTCGGCACCATTCGAAGCAACAGGCTTCGAGGCTGCTCCCTAAAGGATGACAAGTCACTGCTGAAGGAGGGAAGAGGCAGCTTTGACTACAAGGTGGACAATGTGGCAGGACTTGCAGTCGTGAAATGGGCTGACAACAAGACTGTAATACTTGCAAGCTCTTGTGTTTCACAAGACCCAGTGGAAACAGCGAACGGGTTCAACAAGAAGGAGCTTCAAAAGATTCCAGTTTCTTGCCCACAAATTGCGAAACAGTACAACATTGACATGGGCGGTGTTGACCTTGCAGACATGTACGCAGCGCTTTATCGCACCCCATTCCGCACAAATCGATGGTACTTAGGCATCTTCAGCCAGCTTCTCGATATATCCCTGAACAATGCTTGGCTACTACACCGACGACAGTCAAACCTCACTGGCGTGAAGGCAATGCGACTGAAACAATTTCGACTAGCTGTTTCAGAAGCTTTGATGCATGCAAGTTCCCCGAAAAGAGGGAGACGTTCTTCCACCCTCGATGAAGAACCTGCGGCGCAGCGCCCAAGAATGCAGACTACGGCAGCACCTGTCACCGATGTCCGCTACGACGGTAGCGTCGTAGCGGACATCAGCGACCTTTGCTGGAACGCAAAGGTCGCTGCAGGTACTGCCCAAGCGGCCAGACATCAATTGCCTGTGAAAAGCGCAAAGTTAGGCTTTGCATAGTGACGGGAAAGTCCCCAAGAAACTGCTTCAGGTTGTACCACAAGATGTAATTCTTGTTTCTAATATTCAACATTTTGTTATCCCCTAACGGGCAGTGTGCACTGGTAGATACATGTCCTATCTCTTAAATGTGAAATAAAATGCCACAAAAAAATAATGTTTTGGTGCTTGAATTGGTTCTTAAGGAAATACTGATTGTGATATAATTTTAGTTTCATTTTTGTATGACTGCCCGGATAAGGGTTAACACGATCAAATTATAAGGTACTTATTTGTATCGCTCTTATAGCCGCTATAACTTCTCTGAGAGAAATGACCAAATGACGTCTCGAAATACTATAGTTCTTTTTCCCATGATGATACACCATTTTATTTGTTTTCAGGTTTGGGGAATGTAGTTTGTAGTCGGGAGGTGTACTTTCCTGGGAAAGTACGTGAAAAAAAAAACTTAGTAAGCTACTATATGCTTAGAGAATTATTTCAAGTAAAATACGAGTTTTCTAAACACTCTATGAGTAGCGCTTTAATTACCATGTACTTAAAGTATTTCCCAACACTGCTTGTTTAATATTATTTTTATGTAAAAACTTTGGGGGAATTATTAAGGTTTCATGAACGATCTGCATTGAACAATCTGCAACGCAAAGGTGACCTATTTGCGTTGCCTAAAAGGCCACGCAAAGAGGTCACCTTTGCGTTGCCCTTTAGCTTGCGATTATACAAGTACACCAGAAACTAGAGGAGCACCACATGAGCTGAAGAGCGCGTGCTGCATTTTGTTGCCTCCTTTGAATGGATAGGATGCAGTGTGCACACGGCCTGCAGTGGGCGAGAGTTCCTACGTTGGGGAAAAGCGGGAACAAAGCCTTTCTTCAAATCCGTCAGGTCTCCTTAAGCTTCGAGACGCCAAGAAAACCCAGTCCTCGGCGCTAAACCCGCAGTTACTCGGCCTCACTTGCGACATGTCCGCTCCCCGCGACTCATAGCAGGGTTGTTGCTGTGGGGGGCTAGTGAAAATTTTAGGGGGTTCCAGACACTCCAAACCACTACCCCCCCCCCCCCCCCCCCCCGCCTAGGCCCCACGCTTTGTCCTGGTTTTGTCGCACTGGTTTAAACCAAAATGCTCATTGACCAGCTAGCCCAGACATGCTGTTGAGCATGCTTTAACCCCCTGCCTTTTTTTTTTTTGTGGCAAAATCAGCTGATTTTACAACATCATATCTCTTTTTGGGCAGGAATGTGTGTTGATAAGGTAACCTACCACTAAATTCGAAAGTAATTTGTAATTTGAGTAGAAGCTACTCGGAAAAAGTAATTAAAGTAAACTACCAATTACCGAAATAAAATTCTAATTTAAAATCTCTAAGCTACTCAGAAAAGTTGTTAAACTACAGTGGCTTGAGTAGGGTAGTTGAGCAACGTAAAAGCCTGGTTCACCGTGTTGGTTTCACACCGCAGCTCGAGGGAGCCTGTAACGCAAGAACCGTCAGTAACCAGCAGTCGCGACACCTGCAAGCTATGTATATAAGGCATTCACTGGGTGCCATGTTTTAGCGCGTTGTTAACAACTTAATCATCAGGGGGAGGGGGGGGGGGGGGAGAGTGGTATGGTTGACTTGGCACTGGCAGAGGTCCTCGTAGAAGAAGAAAAAAATTAGGTGTTTAATGGCACAGAGGCAACTAAGGCCATAGTGTGCCAAACACAGGGTAAGTAAAGGGCAATACTGAAAAGGCCTATAGTAGGTAGTTCCATTAAAAATATAGGCAATGAATGTTTAAAAACTTTCAAGATGCAGGCCTATTAAGGCCTCCAGAAATCTTTAACCGACGCTCCGCTAACCAGAGGCACTCTAAAGGTATTTCATGCACACTAGGAAGTTTGGGAGATTGTGCCGACGGTACACGATCGCCGGTTCTCTGCCACCGTTAATTTTCAGTCAGATGTAATAGAAATGAAAACAAAGTAAAATTTATAGCCGATGTGGGATGCCAATGCTATCTAAAAACTTAAAAACTTGACGGTGCGGCACAAGAGGTTCGTCACCCAATAATGATGCTGGGTGGAAGGGGACGTGATTGCGAAAAAAGGTAGAGAAAAAAAAATGAATGCCGTTTACAATTCCCTGCAACGCCGGATTAGAGCGCAGATCTTGAGGAGGAGGATGGAAGCGTAGTGAGGGATAGGCAGACTTGTACCGTACGCATTAAAAGTAATCAAATTACTTGTAATCGATTACTTTTTGGAGTAATTTTGTAGTCAGTTGATTACTTTCATTAGGCAGTAATCACAAGAGTAATCTGGTTACCTTTTGAAGTAATAAAATTACATGTAACCATTACCATTTCTCCACTGGACCCCTCCCCCCCGGCACACGCCTTTTTTTCTGAAATCACAAAAATAAAATTTGCTTTTTTTTTTCGAACGGAAAAAATAGAGATTTTTGCGGAGCTGAAATGAAACGAGGTCAATCTCTTTCTATGTACAGTTTCTGTGGAATGTCCGTGTTTTTTTTTTTTTCTTTTTTTTTTTCGAGCTGGGACTGGGAATGGGAAGCCCGAGGGAGGTCACAATGCGTGACAAAGGCCATTCAGGCCGAAGTTTGCGGAAGGAGAATGTAACTTTGTAAGCCTTTCGTTCAAACTAGCCCCCTCACGGACACACACACAGAAATAAAAAAATTAAAAAATCCTGCTTAGGGTACCTACTCGCAGCCCGTAGGAGAACCAGAACCCAAGAATGTCTAAAGCGGATGCAAAATATAACAAAGGCAGTTGAAATATTTTCCCGTTTCCCCTACGCGGTCTTTGTGACAAGCAATGTTTTGAGTTGAGAAGTGGACGGGGCGATCTCTTCCGCTAATGGATACTACACATGATCTGTTTCAAATCCTGGAGCTGCTGCAATTTTGTATAACATGCGAGCTCATCCACATGTAAATAATAAAATGAGCGACGCAAACTTTGAGCGACAACCCTTGCTCAAGCTTAACAAGATCTAGAACCCCTCCGCCCCCCCCCCCCCCCCCTAACCACCCACACTGGCGAACGCCCAAATCATTAAACGTCTTCAAACGAATTCTATGCTTGGGTCCGCATTGTGAAGGTGCCACGACCACAAAGAGGGAGCCAGTTTTTCTTCTTCAATACTTGTACAAATGTGAAATATAGGTTGGAAGTAGTTCATCGTTATGAGCGCTAAAGATGTAAGTCTTCACACAATAAAGTAATCGGAAAAGTAACGATTACTTCTTTAAGTAATGTCCAATTACTTTTGCCGTCGGGTAATCAAGTAATCTAATCGAATACTTTTAGCCAAGAGTAATAGTAATTGTAATAGATTAGTTTTTTTTCAGTAACGTGAACAAGACTGGGGATAGGTGACTCCTTGAGATCACGTGACCTTAGGGGGTCGTGTGACGTCAGGGGGTCGCGTGACATCAGGAGGGGTGTCACGTGGCGTCAGGGGGTCATGCGACCTAAACGGGTCACGTGACCTTAGGGGGTCACGTGACCTCGGGGGGTCACGTGACCTCGCTGTTACGCCGACAGCGACAGCGACTGCGACGCCACTCAAGCCGGAAACGGGGCCTAAGAGCTGCGCTCTAAAAAGTGGTGCCTTCGTGATGGTACTTAGGACATGTGATAAGAACATGCATCACACTCAATGACTCGCTACAGTGTTTACATTTCGGAGCCGCCTCTGCCCGTAGGAGGTACTCATGCGTGAGATGGGTGTGTCCCAAACTCAGACGACAGAGCACCACCTTAAAGAAGCGCTTTCTGTGTCGGCAACTTGCCCCTTCCCGCAGGATAGGTTTTACGCAATGAAGCTTGTTGTGTATTTCCGTGTCCCATTCTAACTGCCAGTTTTTTTTGGATTGCTCTTTTGAGACTGTGTTTGTAGTCAGTGTATGAAATGTACTTTACATCCACCTGCCTCTCAATGCAGATACCGGCTGCTCTATCAGCATCCTCATTTCCCTGAATACCGACATGACTAGGCACCCAACAGAAATTGATGTGCAGGTGTGAGTTTCCTGCAGTGTGCACAATGCTCCGGAGCCTAGTAACGAAGGTATTCTTCGGTATTTCCAAAGAAGCAAGCGCCTTTAATGCGCTGAGAGAGTAAGAGTACATAACAGAATACTGGCTGGAGTTTTCTATAATGAATTCAACAGCTAAATTTAAAGCATGTAATTCTGCAGTAACGATTGAAGCTCTGGCATCAAGACGTCTAACAACCTTCCATGTCTCACTTATAACAGCACAACCAAAAACAGAATCACTCTTAGTAATATCAGTGAGGAAGCCCGTACAGTCGCTGTACGTATAAGCAACAGCAAAAACTCCTGCCGCAGGGCAGCAACGGGAGTTTGCCTCGTATTATATTTAATCAGAGTAAAACTCATTATGGGTGCTGTGCGTTTCCAAGGAGCTATTGCCAGTGGAAGTTGGGCAACTAGGCTGAAACTGTCAAAATTGTACGCTTGTGTACATCCTTTAATTATCTGCGTAAAAGGGGGTACGACAAATGGCTGTACAACACTAGAGCGCACGACACTTGAGCGCCGTCATTAGAGCGCCGAGAGTAGAGCGCCACGACGTTAGCGCGCGTGACACTAGAGCGCCGAGACGTTAGCGCGCGCGACACTAGAGCGCCGCGACGTTAGAGCGCGCGACACCAGAGCGCCGTGGCGTTAGAGCGCGCGACTCGAGAGCGCGGCGACGTTAGCGCGCGCGACACTAGAGTGCCGCGACGTTAGAGCGCGCGACACTAGAGCGCCGCGACGTTAGAGCGCGCGACACTAGAGCGCCGCGACGTTAGAGCGCGCGACACTAGAGCGCCGCGACGTTAGAGCGCGCGACTCGAGAGCGCGGCGACGTTAGCGCGCGCGACACTAGAGCGCCGCGACGTTAGAGCGCGCGACACTAGAGCGCCGCGACGTTAGAGCGCGCGACACTAGAGCGCCGCGACGTTAGAGCGCGCGACACTAGAGCGC